GCTAGGGTCTGGAACCAACTTCCAAGGGAGGTGGTGCAGGCTCCTACCCTGGGGGTTTTTAAGAAGAGGTTAGATGAACACCTTGCTGGGGTCATTTGACCCCAGTACTCTTTCCTGCCATGGCAGGGGGTCGGACTAGATGATCTTCTCAGGTTCCTTCCGACCCTAGAAACTATGAATAATTTATTCATGCTTGTTTCAAGTCATGCTCAAATAAATATTTAAAGGCATTGTTCACCCAGTGCTGATGTGAAGATACATCATAATATGAAGTATCAGGAAGTCTGCAGATACATGAGCGGGAACAGAGGCAGGGGAAAAGATTTCTGAGATCACTTAGGAGTTGAGAACTTTTTGTTATGAACTATCTTATTTCAAATGTCTGACGGTTTTTATTTTGGTATTAAGATGACTTGCCGGTTTTGACTTAGTTCTTGGACCAAAATTACATAATTTACGTGGTTTGGCATATGCCATCCAGCTAAAGTAGTTAATACGTACAACCTGTTTATAATATCTCTTTTTGCAGGCAGTCATTAATCGGACTCTGCCTTGTCAAATGTCTAACTTGGAAAATGAACTTTGACTTGGTGGTCTAGAGAATTTACTAAAATTGGCAATAAAGATATCTCTTTTCAATATCAATATAAAAGTAAATGCTATTTTTGTATGTCACTTAATCCTAAATACTGGCTTATTTGAAGATCCTGTGGTGCTTTTTGATTGCCTAAGCCAGTGATAGCCTAACTTTTTTTAGATGTGAGGCACCCCTTGATAGACTTGAGGCACCCTTCAGAAAATACCAGATCTTGTTTTCACTCTTTTTTTTGACTACAGAAAAATAATAGAGCAACTCTTCTGTTGCAAATAACTCAGAGTGTTTTTAATTGTGTGGGTTCCTATTTGAAATCTCTAGGTTTTGTGAAATCACACTGGTATTATCTCAAGGCACATCAGGGTCCTATGGCAACCTGGTTGCGAATTGCTGGTCTAAGGTATACTCATCCTGATCTGATTAGTTTTGCCTTGCTACTTTTAGTACCAATGTGAGTGGTTGTGTAGGGTATGGTATTTTTACTTCATTTGTGTATTTTTGTGCTATGCACTGCTCCATAGTTGCTAGTCTTTTTTTTTTTTTTTTGGTTTTTTTTTCACCCTCGAAGGGGGCGCCTTTTGGGGT